CTCTCAGGGGAAACGAAAAATTGTTCGAAATAGCCGATAGTATATGACTGAAGGGCATGGGCACTGGAAATGGTTTTCAGTTCGAAATAGCCGAGTTCGAATTAGCCGAATCAAACTGTTTGTTTGTTTGTTTGTTTTTTTCATTTGTTTTCTCCATTTTGCACACACAGCAACAGTCCCTCCTCCGGCAAACGTCACAGCCAAAGTCACAAGCTCCACTTCTGTGAACGTACAATGGCTTCCCATGTCACGCAACGACAGTTCCAAATATGCCTACAACTACACGGTTAAATGGACTTCTGTCAAAAATGTCACGGCAAACATCACTGTCGTAACGACGTCTTACAGCATTCAAGGGCTTGAGCCATTTACAACATATGAGATACGCGTGGCTACAGTTGACGGAAATCAGACCGGAGCGTTTAGTGGCCCTGTACAGGTGCAGAAACTAGAGGGGGGTAAGTTTGATTTGTTAAATTACCTTACCCAAATTCGCAATTAGGTCAATCAGAAGCCGTATCTACTGTCCTGATATCCAGATATCCTGCGATATCAAATCACTGACCTGATATGGCTACCATATCATGCTCACTTGGCCGAATTTTGGTCTCGCTTCGGTATTTTGACTCGACTGCGTCTCGCCAAAATACGAACCATGGCTCGACCAAACTCGAAGCGAAGCGTAAGAAAAAGGTACGATTAGGTTTAAGTATGAAGTGCATTTGGTAATTGTGGAATAGGCGCATTACGGACATTTTAGCATGTGCCCATGATGCAATTTCGGAGACCTAAAGTGTACATAGAACGAAGCAGTTATGTGATAGATTGTGTCGTAATGATCAACACAAGCTCTAGATCCTATACACGCAATAAGAAATATTGTGTAAATATTTCTACATGGCGCAAAACCGAAAACCTTCAAGCTCTTCTAGCGAGTTGTTGGACTTATGTTTTTGTTCTGTGAAGACAAATGTATACGATCTGGAAGGAATGTGTGTGTTATTAACAGAAGCTTATCACCTTTCAAGGTGATATGCTTCAGCAAGGGCGTAACTACGGGGGGTCCTGGGATGCCCATGACCCCCCTCCCCTTTTATAAGCCTTTTTAAGCAAATAACCTACAACAGGTGGCGAAAACGACGTGACAATCTGGTGAATACCCTCACTTTGACACAGTGTGACCACCCCTTTGAAAAATCCTGGCTGCGCCCCTGCTTCTGCTATTAACCAATGATTTACCGGGCGCTCGTGCATATGACCACCTCGATATATGATGACCACACTGTTTTGAGCCGAGTAAAACTGTCATAAAGTCAATTCCTTACTCCGT